CCCCAAAACCCCAAAACCCCAAAACCCCAAAACCCCTTAGTCTATTCCCAATTTGAAAATTAAGAACTATAAAATTTATTATAATGGGTAAAAATGATAGTAAGATCACATCAGTGGTGATCAATAGCTTGACTTGGACCCGTGACTCTCACGGGTTGTTCGATTATGAGTGTAATAAGGTAGTCAAAGCAGTGCACACAGTGCAAGGATGTCACTTTATACATAGACTCGGAGACTCTTGATACATAGGAGACCCTTGTCAATACGATCCTATTGAAAACTCCTCTGTACTAGCCACTTTAGTGTTCTGAAAATAACAAGTATTGGCTCCATCACTACAATATGAGCGATAAAATTGACTTTGAGAGGAACTGTGCTGGCTTAGCCTGGCTAGTAGTCAAATAAAAACCCTGAAACAGCAAAAAGTAAGAGTTAGCTATTTTATTAGTCCTATTTCACTTTTGCAAAATTGTAACCATTTTTAGCTGGTGCAAAACTTGAAACCGGACAGTATATAAAACTTGGTCGAGTCTGATTCAAGGTGAGGGAGACCTCATTTGATATAAAGAAGATGACTGAGGAGGAAAATAAGCAAGAAAATAATTTAAATTCTTTGAGTGAGAATACTGATGTATTAATTTCAGGCGAAGGTTGACCCCCAGATGCCGCTTTTAATCAATGTAAGATTGGATAAATTTTACTCATAGTGAGGTCACGTGGAAGCCAGCCATTGGGACTGAATAACCCAAGAAGGAGTAACGCCAATGCTGGAGGGATAAATACCAACTTTACTGAGCCTCAGTTACAAGTAGAGGTGCCTAGAGATGATATTCATGAAGAGAAAAGTAAATCTAGTAATCTCTCGCTGAATCAGCTTACTTGAAGAATATGCTTGTCTTCAGGATCTGAAGCCGATCAGGAAAATACTCTGATTTCGCCTTGCAAATGAATCGGCTCTGTGAAGTTTGTTCATGAAGAATGTCTGAAACTCTGGTTGAACAGTAAAAGAGAATCAAAAGATACCGATTTTAGTCGAACGTACACATGGAAAGATTTGTCATGAGAGTTGTGAAAGGCTACTTACCCTGATTTAATAGATTCTATTTTAACTCCTAAGAGTAAGTCTCCTCATAAAGCATGGCTTGAACCTCTTCACCTAGCTTTATTGACTAAATGCGGCTCTAGAAACTTCTACAGGTTGTTAGCTTGGGTTTCTCACATTTCCAAATAAGACTATATTGGGATCTGGATAAACAATAAATAGCATTCTAGGTTGTGAATACTAAAAAATCAGATTTAAGGTCTTAATACCTAATATACTAAGTTTTAGTAGAAAATCTAATATTTTTCATTGTAATTTTATATGCAAAACGAGAGTTTTCACAATATTGGTTCATTCCAGGAAGAATTTAGATGTAAATTTTACCGATTTTAGAGAAGACAATCAGTATTTTGGACTACCAAGTGCCTGAAAATGGTGAATATTTGGTCTTAGAAGGCAATTCTAAGAGCAACCAGAAATCTAAAATTATTCATGTTCTGAACTTGAGTAAACAAAATTCTATCAAGATTGGGAGGAACAACGGTGGTAAGAACTGCTCTCATTGTAATAGGAATACGTATCGCTGATATCTCAGTGTCCAGATGCCATGCTTATATTAAACTAGTGGATAAATAATTTCTATATCGAGGATAATGACTCAAAGTTTGGCACTCTAGTTGGGTTTAAAGATCCCATCCAGATTACAAATAAGCCCTTGACAGTCCAGATTGGCAGAACTCTTCTGACCCTAGCCATGAATGAAGGGAAGAGGTACTGTGGGCTCCGTTGCAGGAAGATATTTCTCAGCCGTCCCCAACCAACAACCATTACTGACTTCGGCTCTGTTTTAAGCTTCTATCCTGAGGAGTGAAGAAAGTATAATTTGTTCATAATTTTAGGCTTTTTGAAGAGAATAAGGTCAAAAGAGAGTTCAGACTCGATCAGCTCAGCTTTGAAGAGGATGATTTTGATTCAATTTCAGTAGATTTTAACTTAAATTCTAGGAGAAGAAAAATGTGAAACCAAAGCAGAGCCAATCTGCTCAGAGTAATCTTCCTTGTCTAACTATTTCAGGAGTTCGCAAGTATAAGAGCAGCCGAAGGAAGAAAAAGGTAAAAAGATCATCCCAGAAAGGTCGAAATAAATTCAAGTTTGCTGGCAGGAAAACCCCAAAAATCACAGGAATCAAGAAATTAGTCAACCAGTAGGGATACATATTACATTTTAGGAGGAAGTCATATAGTGGTGTGAACAATTCGATTCCAATCAAGATCTTCTCGATGAACGAGGCTGATGAAGACTCCGATGTTCTAGACCAAAGCTATGACCACTTACTCAAAGGAGATAGGCGAAGAGAAAATGTGAGGAACGGAATAATATAGATTATGAAGAACTTAAAGAAGGCTTCATCGGTGATCTTAATAAATCCTCTTATAAAGAGAAGAGTATTAATGAGCTTTGTAGAATCTGTGAAGATGACCCTCCCAATGAGGATAGCCGGGTAAAGACTGCATTCCAGCCTCAGAACCCAACCTCTCCTCTTGGAGATTTGAATAATATTCAAGAGATTCATAACCGCAAGCCTATGATAAATAGATTATATGATGAAGGAATGGAGGAGAATGAGCAGCAAGAAAAGCCTCCTGAAGTTGTTCAAAATTCACCTGTATTTTTGGCAGAGGAAAATCAGGCGAACTTAGAGCATGAGCTACAAGCTCTAGTGTCTGAGAATCCTGATAATAGTGAAGAGGTATCTTAAATTATTACTGAAGCGTCTAATTAACTTATATATTCTTCTTGTGTCATTCTAGTATTGGTGATTACTCTCTGATTACAGAACTATAATTCAATTTTAATTATTTTCTTGGGGTTTTGGGGTTTTGGGGTTTTGGGGTTTTGGGGTTTTGGGG